ACAAGCATATTGCATGTACTACTTGCTTTTACCTTTGTATGCTTATATATACTTTATACACAGGTTTCCTCACATCTGTATGCTTAGAAGCACATGCGCACAAAACAACTATGTATCAGAAGATAGCTTATACAGACAGAAACCTCTTAAGTGAATTATTTACAATGTTACCTATATATATGGTTTTTTATACCTTTTTTTCACGGAACCTTTTTACACCATCAACAAGATAACAGTAAAACACAGCTAAAGACAAAGAAAGCGTTTACTGTTAAAAAGATAATTTCCTACAAAGATAAGCGAGTTGACAACTACACTTTATTTCAGTAAGTAGTAAGTAAATTGTGTTGAATTGTTTTGATAATAGTTTTTTTTTAAATGCGAAATTGCTGAAATATAAATTATTCAACAGTATATATATTCGTCAGAATAAATAATGTGGGTGTCAATCTCCCTAAGCTCGTCGATGACATAGCGGTTAGGACGCTCGCTGACCATGTACATAGTCTGGGGTTCGATCCCCGGCCGACAAACTCCTTTACCTTGCTAAGCCAGAAATAATGATGGTAAAGAGGAAAGGTTGGGCATGGAGCTAGCAACCCCATCCTGTAAAAATAATCACCACTGCTACAGAAACTTCAAGCCACTAGCTTGAAGCCCTATGTTCCACTGGAGAACGTGAAAGAAAGAAAGAAATCTCACTAAGCGACAGTATTTGGGCATTTAGCAGATTGAAGTCACACTCCATTATTCTTTTTTTTCCTTCACGTTCCCAGTGGGACATAGAGCCTCAAGCTAGTGGCTTGAAGTTTCTGTAGCAGTGTTCAATTTTACAGGATCGGGTTGCTAGCTCCGTGCCCAACCTTTCCTCATTACCAGCATTATTTCTGGCTTAGCGAGGTTTGGGAGTGAGTCGGTGGGGGATCAAACCCCAGACCATGTGCATGGTCGGCGAGCGTCTTAACCGTTGTGCCACCGACGCACCATTATTCTACAACAAATGAATTTCACTTATACTTATACAGTTAAACCGGTAACAACACCAACAGAGATACTTACTTCTATGAATACTAATTTTCAGAGGAGAAGTAACTTGACCTAATCATATTGAAAATCGATCAAGAAAGCGAGCGGTTAATTCATAATGGGATGGAAACTACATCCAGCAAGATGTGAATGGATTTGCCTTACTTTATCTCTCTCAATTTTATGTAAGTTATGCATAGTGTACTGATACACACAATATTCTCTCTTTTTTCCACAGAAAACAAAGATTCAAATGAGAGGGGATAAAAGAAGAGGAAAGGGAAATGAACCATATAGTATAGTAGCCAGTGATAAATATGTTGACTAGTCTGTTTTTCTTCCGAAGATGTCTTACACTTATGGTTAGGAGCTTAACACAACATCACTTCAGATAAAGTAATATTATACAACATTAATATAATCCAGGAAAAGTAACCTAAGTACTAACATGCTATTTACAATTAGCATAGGGTTAGAGTGTAGGCAGCGAATGGTTTTAAAACTCATGATGCACAACATACATAATAGATGGCGAAAATTTATCCTCGGTCAATTGTTGCATCGTCATTAACCTTAATACTACTCAAAGTTTATCAGTAAAAAAAAAACATTTTTTTAAACTGCTTAACAAAACGATAGTTACTAAAAGAATCAACAGACGTTCTCTAGATATATTCGACAATAATTAACAGTGTATATACCTAAAAGTATGGAGTAAAGTTCGTGCTTCAACTTCACAGATACTCCCCACCATAATGTAAAAAATTCATTGGTGGCAGGAAAAGTGACTAAAAGATAAGCTATCCAAAGATAAAACTGCTATCGGCAATGTACCATCAATCTATAAATTCTTGGACTGTTTAGTTTGAGGTATAGACTATCTGGTCGGGGTCCTCAGGATACTAAGAACCACTGGCTTCAGACTGCTTGTGATACGACCGCAAAATTTTCTTAACCTTTGTAGTCTCACAGGAGCATTAAATATTCATGTTTTCGTGTTACTATTCTTTATCGCATTACGCTTATTTTGAATTTCTTTCTTTTTTTTCTATTTTTATGTGCCACCTGGAGTGTGGCAAGTGAAATTTGTGCACTTCTGTGCGGACTTCTACGTTGAATACTCGGGGTCAGCTGATTGGCTCAAAAACGTGGACACCTTCTATGTGTCACTTAAAGCTAAAGCATGTTATTTCATATAACTCAGTGTTAGTTAATATTTCTCTTCTAATTTAACTATAGCATATTACAGTTATCGTCTGACACTAAAATACTTTTATTATTACACATGTACATTTAGAAAAAATAATTAGTTGAGTGGAGAAATATTTTCCTTTTTAATTAGTTCTTCACCAACGTCTCTACACTAATATATAGTTTTTTACATCAAAATTTTACCAATCAAGTGGTTACTTTAGTGCGCATCAGTTTTAGGTATAGTGTGATGGGGGGGGAGGGGAGGGGTTGAAAATTAACAGTTTAAAAATCAACAAATCTCGTCGACACCGTTGACTCGAATAAAGCTTTTTAAGTTATTTATCGTATTTCACCCAACTTCTTGCATGGTCTACGAGTACAACTTTTATGTACAGCAGAAGCAATAGGAATTTATCTGAACAAGCCAGACTTGTGTGTTCAAAAGCAATTTGACCAGCGCCTTTCTTTGCTATGGCCAACTACATAATGCTTTTTTAAAAACGATCCCCACCCCCCCTTGTAACCACATTTTGACTTTGTTATTTATTACAATTCTTTCTAGCTAGTTCTATTACCTTGCTGTCTTTTAAGTAATTGTACTGCGTCATCCTATTCTTCTTAGTCATCATTATTTTACAAATTTCCTGATTATGTAATAATTTGTTGCTAAATCCCATGAATTAACATATCTTGAATCCGTGATTAATCTTCACTCCACTTCAAAACGTAAACATCTTGTTAGTAACATTTATTGGCCATTTGCTTTGATGACTTTTAACCTCTTAATATTTAATCACTCACACTATACCTGAAACTGATGAAGTAAAGTAAAGTGTAACCACTTGATTGGTAAAATTTTGATGTAAAAAACTACATATTAGAGTCGATGATGAGGAAGAGTTCAAAACTAGGATGACATGAACAGCTGTTCAGCACTCCCAGGTTTTTCAGTGGTTCTCTAACTAATGTCAGCTCATGATGAACTCCTGTAACTAATCAAATACCGACAAACCAACACTTGAATAAAAAAAGGAAATATTTCTTCACTCAATTTGCTGTTGTTTTTTTTCTAAAACTACGATCATCGTTAAGTTTTTCTTCTCCTACTGACAACTACAACCACATAGGAAGACTCTTTATCAAGATCAGTTAAGTGCAACACTGTACACCGGCTCGAATACCAGGTGATGTGAGCTAAAGAATAAAGTTACTAGTGCATATGCATTCACCTCAAAGGAATACATTTCGATGACTTCTGGGAGAAAACATTATGGAAGATTGTATATGCGCTGTGCATAAACACAGATACACAAACAACATATCAAGGTTTACAACCAGGAATCCATCAGATACTGTTAAGAACCAAGTATAACAAAGTTACCTATAAGGTAGCTATAATATGTGAGCTTCGTGAAAGAAAATAGTTCTTCAAATTATATTTCTAGCATGTTTTTTGCAATGCCTCCGCGTTTCGAGTGGAATATAAGGTTTCAAGACTGAACTGTTAAGTTTCAGTAGCAGTGATGTTGGTCTCACGAGGCTAACTATCGACCAAAAAAACAAGACGTGTATCGATTTAGCACTCTACCACTGCCACTGAATCACCGATTTGATTGAAACTTATTCCATATCATAGGCATAACTAGTGATTCCAAATTCTTCTTAACATCAGGGAATTGTGTCCAAATGTCAGGCCTATATATTTATCGTATGCTAGTTCACAATTAGTCGGTGGTACATATTTGTGCATACAATCATTTCTAGAATATTCAAGTCGTGACCAGTAGGGTGCAGCAGGTCGGGTGTGGGGACAAATACTCACCGAAGATATTGGCTAGCGGTCGCGCTATGTCGTCAATGGCAGAAGTTAGAATTCATGGACTGGCCATTGGATCGGGTCCTAGTGGCTAAATGGTCTGCGAGCTAGCTCGCCTTGCAACTAGAAGGTCCTGGGTTCGAACCTACCAATGGCGAGTGTGTACTGATGAAGAGTCCCAAACTAGGCTGGCGAAACAGATGTCCAAGTATTCCCAGGTTTTCCAATGGTTCTCTAACTAGCGTCAGCTCATAATGAAATCCTGTAACATTTCTAGAATAATTCGCGTTTACTGCACACGGCTTATTTATCTGATCTTCACGGTGTTCAAATTTATTTAAAGATACACTAGCAATTCATAGCTTAATTTAAACACAAAAACATCATCAAGAATAACTCTAGGTCAGGTGGTCATTTCGATCCTGATTATCACCATAATACAAATACCCGTATTATACGAAAAAAAAGCGGAACAGTGTGCCTAAAGAATAGATTTTTATGATAGACAAAAATGTGTACATGTCAACTACACATACAGCAGATTTTCAACAGCTGGTTATACCTATTCATCACATTTTACGCATGAAAACAAAGAGAGAGGGAGAGAGCATAGGATCACCACAATGTTTAAAAGCAGCTAATGAGTCACTCCTACCCTAAGGTCATTTAACAAACTCTCTTGCTCTCGCTCCATTTCACACACACACACACACATACAAAAGGTATGGTTGGGCCAAGCCACGACCTTGACAGTAACAATTATCAGCCAACAACAAAGAGAGTTAAAGAGAAAAACAAATAGGTTGAATTAATTGAAAAATATCTCAGTGAACAGCATGAAACAATTTTGTCTGGATGTTAACAACATTTCCTTAGTGAACTTATATGTTCCAATTTCAAGCTGGAATGAGAAGATAAACGTCAGCGTGAAAAATAATTTGGAAAAATTTTTCTTAAAACTTACGATTGAGCATGTATGTATTGGTTAGATTACTTTGATTGACATTTGGTATTACTTGTGAAAATCCACTAGCGGCTGCCACTGCAGCTGCCAAAGCTTGCTGCTGCTGTTGTTGGGAATTGTGTAATTGTAGTGCAAAGGGATTTAGTAAACCGGTTACTGTATTCGGGCCGATAGACTCCAACTCAGACATTAAAGAGCCTGACAGTGGTGTAGCAGGAGGTGGTTCAGATGGTGGAGGTGGAATAACACCAGTACGAATAGACTGAGCAAGTCTGCACGCAGATCTTAGAGTTCCATGTGGATCAACACCACTAATTGTCGTAGCACGGGTTAAACTACCTGTCATACGTTGACGACGAGGCAGAGTTCCACCTGTTGATCCGTAGGCAGCCGAACGTGCATATCCTCCTAAAGATGAATCTCTTTGCCGGCTGTTCAACTGAAATGTTTGACGGCGTTGCCTACCTCGTAGCGCTACATCAAAATCATTTCCAGTATGAAATCCATCTTCTTCAATATCTGAACGTGAGTTACCTTTATTTAATGCAACTCTTTCGTCATCTTCACTGTCTTCCTGATCATCATTAACAGATCTAAGCAGAGGGTTTGATGACAGATTATTTGAACCAGAAGATCCCATTCTAGGGACTTCACTCCTTGCACGTTTTCTAGATCTTGATAAGGCAGACTGATCATTAGAAGAATTGTCATTGAGAACATGGGCTTCGGAGTTAGTATCTGTGCTCACTGAAGGACTACCAGTACGTGAATTCCCGTACGTTTTGCGTCTCATTAACTGTGAATCAGTGAGATGGGTGCGGTATATATCTCTAGATTTATTTTGATTATCATTAGAATGGTCTAAAATTGAAGACAAAAAAAAGTAAATTATTTTAACAATTACTACAAATCAAGATTCATAATTCACACACTATATTTAAATTAAGAAATTTTGTAAATAACTTTTGAAACACGATCATATAGACAGGAAATTATTTTCAACAAATAACTAGATCAGTTGTCTGTAGTTTAATTTGCAGGTTGCCATTACTAACCGTACTTTAATGCGAGATAAACAAGAAATAGGAATTAATGTATTTCATGGAGGTATCATGATGAGGTACCACACGATAGGAATCAGAATCCCAGTGACTTTAAATTACAGGAAATATTAGTGGATTATTGGCGAGATATACAGTAGCCACTTTTATTTAGGAGACTGTAGCATACGCTTTAAACCAACTGTGATAAATGGATGACTACTTTGAAGGGTTGGCAGTTTTCTAACCGAACAACTAAGTTGTCTTTTTGCCTTACTTAATAATGCATGCATTTTACCTATCAAAATATGTGATATTCACTCATCACCACTAGCTTATTAGTTGGAAGAACTATTATTTTTTAGACTGTTTACGCGTTGCATCTTAGTAAGCGAAATAATGTTTATTACAACCATTTATAGTACTTATTATCCCCTGATTGAAATAAATTAATAAAAATCATCTGTCTGTCTGTTTTCGACATAGAACACCGATGTGCACCAGTTCAAGTCGCCACACTCCACTCCATGTAGCACACAACAGCAACGGAACAAAGTAGAAGAAATGCTCAATAGAGATAGTAAACGGAGGTGTGAAACAAAGGAACAGTAGTAACGAAGAACAATACAGTTTCATTGGAAATCATAAGTCACAATGAGTGGATGCATCTGCACCAGCCATTGAGAGCGATTTTGAGCCATATCACCAATTGTTTCCAACCATTGGTTTTGACCGTCCCGAGGACCGACTCTGGCGTAGACGAGATGTTCGACTATCGACCAAAGGGCGGGTGTACTGCTCATCAGTCCGCTCCGTCCTCCTTTATGGTTGTGAGACCTGGCCACTGAGAGTGGAAGACATGAAAAGACTAGCTGTCTTTGATCATAGGTGCCTGCGCTCTATTTCCCGTGTAAAGTGGCATGATAAGGTGAGCAACATTGAGGTTAGGCGTCGAGTTCTAGGTAAACAGGGGAAATCAATCGACGAAGTCGTGAAGCTACAAAGGCTGAGATGGTTAGGACATGTGTTACGTATGCCAAGCCATCGCCTACCTCGACGAGCTATGTTAGCGGATATAGGGTCAGGCTGGAAAAAAGCTAGCGGCGGTCAAACAAAAACATGTCAGCAGTCAATGAAATCCACAACAGTTGGTCTAAGCCACGTAGGAAGGTGTAGACTTCCAGACTGGGGTTCTCGGGACGGTAAAAATCTATGGCTGGAAACAATTGATCACATGGCTCAAAATCGTTCTCAGTGGCGCAGATGCATCCACTCCTTGTGACTTATGATCTCCAATGAAACTTTTGTTTTTCTTTATTACTCCTTTGTCTCACATCTCTGCTCACTGTTTCTGTTATGCTTTTCTTATACTTTCTTCTCTTGCTTCGCGTGCTAAATGGAGTGTGGCGACTTGAACTTCCGCACATTTTTGCAAAGTTTTATGTCGAAAACAGACAGAGGACCCCAAACAATCAGGAAGTCTACACCTTCCTACGTGACTGGCTTAAACTAACTGTTGTGGATTTCATCGATTGATGAGCCCATGTTTTGGTTTGACCACCGCGCCATCAGCTCTTTTCCAGCCTGAACCTATATCAGCTAACATTCCCCGTCGAGGAAGACGATGACTAGGCATGCGTAACACATGTCCTAACCACCTCAGTCGATGTAATTTCACAGCCTCGTCGATTGATTTCCACTTGCACCTACCTAGAATTCGACGCCTGACCTCATTGTTGCTCACCTTATTATACCACTTCAAACGGGAGATAGAGCGCACGCACCTATAATGAAAGACAGCTAATCTTTTCATATCTTCCACTTTCAATAGCCGTGTTTCACAACCATAAAAATCATCACGTTAACATTCAAAAAAGCTAAATCACTAGGACGGAAAAAATCCAAGTACAAATGAGATGCAGACAGTGTGAGATATACATACAACTCTGAGGTTTCTAATAGATACGATGTTAAATTTAGGTGTATTTCGAAAAGGTGATAGGTGAACACACAGGTAAACAACTCAAAAGTGGATAATGGAAAACTGAATTAAGTCACATTCTGGCTTTGAATTAATAATCTACTGTAACCTAAAGTGATTATTCTTAGAAATTCTACAGTCAACTAAATCTTGGCTTCCCCCATCAACAAATCTTATGGATTTTTCCATCAATAAATAAAACAAATCGTCTTCGGATAGCAGATGCGCTGCCGCTTGTAGAGTTTCTCAGTTTGTTCCAGAATAATAAACAACCTAAACTGATGGAAGATTATAAAGCAAAGTAAGGTCGATTAAAAATAGGTTAACAAACTGCCGATGGAAACAAAATGTTATATTTAAGCAAGAATTGTAACTCCCAGAAACATGATAGAAGAAGGGAGTGAATGAAAAGTAACAATACAATAATCACTTAGTACATTTGATTTCAATATCTTTTAATTAACATTGGCCTACAGTTTTTGGCTAAACAATAATGCACGCGAATAACATATCTTTAAAAAAAAACAATAAATCATTGTACGATAGAGTATAACTTGAAATAAAGAATACAGGAATATGAAGAACTATTTTTCTTTGTTCTAAAGCATCTTATGCATATGTCTGAGGCGTGTGTGTGTGTGTGTGCGCGCTCGAGAGAGAGAGAAAGAGTGAGTGAGAGCGTTCTCCTAGAAATAATAAATAGGCATATATGGACAAAAACAACAGGTGTTAAAAATGTGTATGAATCATAGTTATCCAAAAGTATATCCTGTAATAAGCTAGAATGATCAAATCGAAATCTGGATAAAAGGAGTGAGTGGATAAATGTATAATGCAGATAAGCGCAACTCCTTGCCTTAATAGACTGGAAAGTAAGCATTTACATATAAAAATCCGACATGCACTATAACACACACAGGAAGAAATAGCAGATTTATTATTAGCAGATTTATTTATATTCACAAGACGAAAACTTATATTTGAAGTGGAAACACAAAAATATTGTGTTCAGTTAACGCAAAACAGGTTATTGCTTCGGGTATCCATCATTTAGCAGGAGGTGGTTCAGATGTCGGAGGAGGTGGAATAACACCAGTACGAACAGACTGAGTAAGTTTGCACGCAGATCTTAGAAATATCCATGTAGATCAGCACCACTAATCGTCGTAGCACGGGTTAAGCTATCTGTCATACGTTGGCGACGAGGCAGAGTACCACCTGTTGATCAGTGGTTTGAGAAAGGCGATCGATGGCTAGACATGCGTTACACATATCCTAACCATATATATATATATATATATATATATATATATATATATATATATATATATATATATATATATATATATATATATAAGGACCGTTAGAAGGAAAATCAATGCTAGAGCTACACGGTGGTGAAAGTCTAACTAAGCTACATATTACGAGTCGCCTGAATTTGCAGAACAGCCCCAAAAGTTTAAAAATTAGTAGGCTTTTTGGAAAAGTTGAAAGGATTGAGAATATTTTACACACTTCTTTCCCTTTATGAATTTGAATAAAGCCGTCGACAACAGTTTGTACGTATGTACATAATCCTAAGTAATTTATTTAGGCTGTAAGCAGCTGATGAGAAGCCATCGAAGTAAATGATGGTACCATCTTGATCTGCGCAAACTCCTAATCTCGAATTGGGAATATTTCTTTACCTCCCAAAAGTGCTGACACAAAACGAAAAACTGTCAGATGAACTATGTTAATCAATCAACATCTGAAAGATGTACTATCACAAAATTTGTTTTCAAACTATTATCATTTCTAAGCCCATAGATAATCAGTGATATGATGCAAAGACATTCTGATGTAAATAATTAGAAACATAACACACAATTATGTGCAAGATAATCCTTTTAGGCATTTCAATGGCCCAGGCGTATCGAAATAATGAAGTTAGTTCTCAAACTCCTGCACATACATTCTCAAACCAATGACCTATATTGTTTGATACAGCTTAGAGAAATAAGGTTAAACTTCTGCATGACAGTCAAATCAAATGCCAGTTAAAGTTTAATAACAAAGCGGACGACCACCCAAATGTCCTCGAACAACCAAGACGTTATTTAGATAGAAAATTTTGTGGAAAACTGATAAAGCATGACAAAATGTGTGTACAGGATGAGAATGTTCCAGAAGTGTCACCTAGTTTGTCGCTTGGATTTTTAGCGTGAAATGAAATCATTGAGATTATATACAATGTCATTGCACGACCGATTTATTGCCGGAGCACTGTTTTACAAATGCCTTCAGAATTCTTCTGTGGAACTGATGTGCATTCTACACAACAGACCAACAATATCAAAGTAATGAATCGTATTGCTGTGAATATTATTGCAAATCTATTCAAAACCATTTTGTTAGTGGTTCACTTAGGTCACCAAACTTTAGTCTTGCTAAAATGCTTGCCTGGGCTATCTCAGTTACCTGACTAAATAGGCAATGCCCGATATTCATTGTCATGCCTTTATTTAAAGTTATTGTAAAACTTTCTTAACGAAAGTACATAAATCAATTGCATTACCAGAATACTACTCTTGAACAATTCATCAAGCACATGGCGCTTTGTAACTAAAACATACCTAGCACTGTGTTAAAATCTGCAAATATGGACTCGACAGTTTTCAACATAAGTGCTAAATAACTAAGGGTGTTAGATTTAAAATACAAAATAAATTTACATACTAAGGGATTAAAACACCCAGTGACAAGAAAAACAATTCTCCGGAATAACAGGAACTTAACTGCCCAATAAGATAAATGATTACATCGTTGGATGTAACACAAAGGGGCAATTTAACTGACTGATTGGTTTGTACCTAGAACTTTGCACAGAAGTGCAGCAGTTCGAGTTGCTGCACTCCGTGTCGCACACAAGCCAAGAGAAGAGAGTAAACAGAGATTCAAAAGTGGGATAAACAGAAATATGAGGCAAAATGCATAGTAATATAGAAGAATAATAGAATTTTATTAGATGTAGTACATCACAAAGAGTGAATGCATCTGAGCCATCTATTGAGAACGATTTGGAGCCACATCATCAACTGTCTACAAACATTGACATCCGCTATCCCGAGGAGCCCAACCAGGAGGTCTACACCTCCCTACGTGGCATAAAATAACTGTCAAACATGTCATGGACTGATTTCATGTTTTCATTTATAGGCCATTAGTTCTTCTCCAACATGATGCATGCTGAAACCTAACGTCCCCCATCAAGGAAGGCGATTGATGGTTAGGCATACGTAACATATGTCCTCACCATCTCAATCGATGTAATTTCACAAGCTCGTTGATTGATTTTTCTTCCATACCTAGCACTCAACCGACGCCTAACCTCAAGATTACTCACACTGTTATACCACCACCTGATACAAGAGATAGAAAGCACGCACCTATGACTAAAGACAACTAGTCTTTTCGTGTTTTGCACCTTCAATGGCCATATCTCGCAGTCATAAAGGGAGGAGAGAGTTGCCAAGCAGTATGCACATCCTTTGGTCAACAGCCAGTCCGATATCACGTCTACACTCAAGATGGAGCAAATTGACATATGCCAAACGAGCCTTCTATACGCGTGCTGAAATTTCGTCAGCACTCAGCTCGTTGTCGCTGATGCAACTTCCTAAATAACTGAAGTCGTCAGCACCCTCTAACACATCACTCCTTACCTTCAAACTAGGAGTCAATGTAGTCCAGTCCTGTAGCAACATCTAACACTTGGTAGGCGTACATCGCATGCCAAACATTCGCAGACTACTGCTCAAGGTGTTCAGAAAACTCTGTATTTTGTCAGCATCTTCACATAGAAACAATATATCATCTGCATATTCTCAATCAACGCGATTATCCCCTGGTGAAAAGTTATTCCCCGAGTAGATGAAGTCAGCCAGAGTTAAGAACTTTAACTGAGGTTACAAAGGCTGTCTCTAATTTGAAATGACGCAAAGCAGCAGAACCTGATGGAATGACTTTAGATGTGTTTAGCGACAGTGGCAATGTCCGGGGATTACAGATAGTCCAGATTTTGGACTGGTGCAAGTCATTGATCATGCCAGTATGCAAGAAGGGAAACAAGTCTTCCTGTGATAACCACAGGGTGATTAGCTTAACTAATATGATATCTAAGGTTTTAGTCTGAATAATCATGCGTAAATAAAGTGGTCGTGGAAAATAACAAGCGTGAGAAAAGCAGGCAGGCTTCAGACCAGGTAGAGGATGTATTAATCATAATATGTATTCACCCTTCGACAGATTCTGGAACATATGTATGTTTGCTGGTGTCCAACAATTGCCATATGTCTTGATCTGAGGGTGGAATTCGACTTCGTCAACTGAGGTGCGCTATGATGTTTGATTGTGGAGTGCCGTATAAAAGAGTGTTACATTAATCAAGTCACTCTGCTGAAACTTGCGCAGGTGTGTAAGAGCTTATGGAGTTGTCATATGAAGTGGTGACGACCAGTGGTATCTTTGGGTAATTTCCAATGTCTCAATTTCTATTGAATTTAGACATACACATAGTAATGAATGTGACTATAAACTTTAGCAACTTGAGGATGAAATTCTCACCAGGGGACAATTTCTTGGGTACAGTATGTGGGCGATATTGTCCCATTACGTGAAACTGACAAAATACGGTCTTCTGAACACTTAGAACAGAAATACTGACCTGTTTGACATGCGACTCCCCGCTATCAAATGATGATGCTGCAGCACTCTTGTGAATCATCTTCCGGGTGAAAGATGGGGAACGAAGTGGCTAAGTGTTACTCACTTGCATAAAAACCCAATGGATTGCTTGCTGACTAAATCTGAGCACGGTTCAGGTTGTACTTAATAACTGACCTCAACTCTTCTGTAGATATGATATCCAACAATACGTTGAAAAAAGAATGTACTGCGCAATAGTCCCCCTTTCACTTCTTTATGTTTGTAAAACACAGTCCACGAGTGTGGAAGACTTAAACAGACCAACTACCTTCGACCATAGGAGCATGCGTTTCATCTCTCTTATTAAAGTGTACATCATGTTTAGGAATACTGAAGTTAAATGTGGAGTGCTAAGTGAGGCAGTGAAGCTGATCGATGAGGTTGTGAAACTATATCAGTTGAGATGACTAGGGCATGAGTTTCACATTTCAAGTCATCGCCTTCCTAGTTGATCAGTGATAGTTGACACAGGATTAGGTTGGAGAGGAGTTAGGGGTGGTCAGACTAAACCATGTTATTGGACTTCGGTTTGAGCTAGCCACGAAGAAAGGTGTAGAATGATTCACTGGGTCATTGAGACACTGTGATCCGATAGCTTGAGACTGTTTATGACACAGCTCAAAGTCCTTCTCAATGACGCAGATGCATTCGCTCTTTTTAACTCCTCAGATCTATTAAATCCAAATTATTCACATAGTCGGTTCTTCTTCCGCACATTTCGGTTCAATATAGTCCCTTTGAACTTTTATCTCTCGCTACATGAGTCTTATCGAGTGTGACAACCTGAAATTCTGCACTTCTGTGCAGAGTTCCACGTTGAAAACTGTCTTACTTAATAGTTGATGAATACATTCGCAAACCTCTGATTATTCTATCTTCATGTTTGCAAGCCTAAATTAAGAAGGAATAAAGTTGCCTAATATGCCGAGACCAGCGATAGGAAAACATACATAACACTAAGCAGTGGTCTCACAGACAAAGCCATCTTCCGATAGAATTCAGTCTGCACCAAAGAGAGGACTAGATACATCACACTAGTTACTAGTGTCAAATCAAAAGAGTTATCTTCCATTTTACCACAACTGCCTTTGGTGCAGATATTCATGTATGCGCAGCATACGCCTCTATTATTTTAGTTAATGAAAAATGTTTGAAATAAAGCAGAAATAGGGCTAAGAGAAACTTCATAAGATCTTGCTGTGAGCGGATGGCGAAGACTGGCGTCACATTTCAGTTCAAGAAAACAAACACCGGACTAAACTTTCTACTACATGGCAAATATCCTGAACATCAGTTAAACTAATACTAGGGCCACAATGTTACCCTACTTATTAATAGAACCATTGCTTTCAATGTCTGTAGTGGTTCAGGTAGTGTCGCAAGAAATAAGAAAGATTTATGATCGCTTGAATTAATGCATAACAACTGTGAGCAATTTAAAAGACATGAGATCATAATTAAGAAAAGTCAATGGATATTGGAGGTATAAGAAAATTAAAGTAACTGGACATTTAATTTGGAAACTAGGTATGAGATGTGTCATTCATGGAGATTTCTAAACACATTAAAGTAATCACAATTTCGAAATCTCTTATTAGCCAAGCACCTATTATAACTCGTGAGTTCGCATATCGAAATTGTCTAACGACGGACCACGAATATGCGCTTTGTTCCACATATGCTGGAATGCATATTATGAATTCAGGCAGTTGATAAACAGCTACAAATAACAAAATGAAGGATCATTCCAGTCGAGAAACATCCGAGGTCACTTGACATTATCACTCTCGGCGAGACCCTAAGCTCAGTAATCAAATCCCAATAGGTGACTGATTTTCCAAAAGAAACACCTATGTGCATAGAACTTGCATAATCCTTGCCTATAATGTCACGCACAACAAAACCCAAAATAAAGTTTTGAAACGGTCGTGTCCACTCAACTTTGCATATTTCACCACCGAGGTAGCACACAAGTCACGTAATCCTCCAAACATAAGGAAAGAATTTTACCCATAAGCTGAGATTTCGGCTATTTTGCGAGGTCTTTATCGATGCAGGAAATAAAACTCGTATATACAACTTCTAAACACAAAACGAAATTCAAATCAAATATGGAATTGGGGAAGAGACTCGTTAAAATTCCACACTGATAGCTGCTGAAGTCATTACTTTCTTCCTTCTGTCAGTGTGAAGAGCCATGTAAGTTAGCTATTGAAGCATTTCAGTGAAAGCCTTGTAGTCTATTTGGTTTAAATTCGCTGTTGCTCAACATTACGGTGTCATCATTTTCCGGTATTAAAAAATCCCTGATACATATTCAAATATCTAATGGGGTGAATAATTGAAGATCAATCGAATCACATATTACTTTCAGGTGTATCACTGTTATCACAATAAATTAAACATACTTTTGACTACTTTAGATCATATGGTGCAACTTCGTTTAACAACACAAGCTTTTCTTTAATGATCAGTATTATTCCTATAATAGGGCAGTGTGCTAGCAAAAATTGTAGATATTGCACCTAACTCGTAATAACATGAAACGTTTCGTCAGAACAGGGATAATTTAAGTTATTTACATGAATAAATGAGAGGGTGAAGCCCAGAATGAACCAGATCAAATTAATCCCACAGAGTTCAGTAAATTATAATCTCAAAAGAATCACTGTACCTTGACTGACGACTGATATTTTCGACTGTCTTTCTCTGTCACGGGAAGACTGCGACAGCTTATCTTTTTCATATGAGTTTAAACTGGGAACGTTAGACCCAGAACGATTAGATCCACCAGGCATCGTACCGATTCCACTACTACTGCTCCCCGTAGCAGTGCTGTTCCGCTTATCACCAAGTGTAGGCCTTGTCACTACCGGTTTCGTGGAGAAATCGCGATCACAATCTTCCAATATCTCAGATCCTGTAGCATGACCGTTAGAATAATTCCGTGATATATATAGAGGGTTCTGACTTAGTGGAGCATCACCATTTAGAATACTTCCATCACTACAATTTGATACAGAGGAATTATTTCGCAAAGGGTCTTCAAGACGAAGTAATTTATCACTCATAAATCAGAATAACCAGGTAGCCCTAAAACGATTTGGCCGAACCCATTCAAAGTTGCGACACATTACACAACCTTTGAGTAAAGGAATCGTAGAGATTCAAACAACGACATTCAACTTTCCAATATCTAGTGTCGGTTTTAGTGAGTGGAGCAGACCATATTGAATTCTTTGTTCTGGCTTCCTAAGTTTAAGTCAGTGGTTTTTAGTCTTCTTTAAACCTCCATAGTGTGTGTCCGTCTGAGTCTTTCGAGCACAGTAATGCTCTCCAAATCATTGCTTCTTCAGAGTAAGGAACAGCATTTCATATAAGAGGATATAGCAGGTCACTGAAAAAATTAGAAACAAAGGACATCACGATAGAATTCTGTGGTACTCCTGAGTGTGTACAGTGCCAGGATGATTGAACACAACTGAACTAAGTGTAGGATTCCTTATCATATAAGCAGTCGTCCGGCGGTGACAAAAGCGCATCGCCAAAGATTATTGTTCTGTTAAACGAAATGTAGCATATAAACTCGAAATAAAAGTTTACATACGAGGCTATGTAAAGTTCTAACATAAAAAAGACTATAACTGAGCACCGATTCAGTTCCTACTTAATAAACTTTTCATTCAAACAAGAAATGCACAACAGTCAAGTGAGGCACAAACTATCTAAATAGCAGCAAAATGGAAAATATTTTATAAAATACAACTGAATTGTTTAAATGTGGAAATATTAGGCGTAGCACCGGCATTTCTAATGATGCGTAGCCGATTTCGACCAAATATTCCCCGGGCACACCCCAATGAGAGGTTAAGGAATGGAGCATTAAAGCCTGTAGCTACGATGATTTGGTCACACCTTGGGTCTCCTACTTTTTTGATGGCACTAAGCGGTGGCTGGATGCGTTCCTTTTCAGCCAGTGATACATTCATTGGTTGGGCATTTATGCACTGGTTTTGAGTAGAATACACCTGTCTGTGCCTCTTGTGAAGCGAGACCAGTATCAAGTAGTAACACCACTCGGAAGGATAGGAAACTAGACATTTCAGAAGTCCTGGACCCAGTGAACTTTGATCACACTTTGGAGCTTTGCGTCCCTTCGAAGATCAGTCGTCAAATGAATTATAACAATGAGACGTCGTCTTGTGTCCCACCTGTGAAAAAACCGGGTTCCTACCATGACATTACTAAATTGTTCTGAGGATCGTATCAGATGGCCCTTTGAATCAAGATGCACATTAATTTAACTGAACTTCATATATCAACTGATATAAACATATTTCCACAAATGGACTGCTGCCTTTTTTCCTGTTTATTACTAAATCATTTTTTATATGGTTTGCCGTTACCTTGATGGGTAAGGTATTGGTCAATTTTGGTTGTAGTATTAAGGGTATCTGTGACCTGACATCAGGAGAGAAATGATGTCCGATTCATCCACTACCTCCTTCAGTGATTTTGGCACTGAATTATTTTGGCCCCTTTATTGGCTCAACAGACGCAAAACACAGATAACAATAAACATGCTGACGCAATCAAATCGCATGTGAGGCATACTGGTGCTGAAGAGTAATAACAGTGCTCTCTCAAATCAAAGAATATAGGATATTTAAGTGAATAAGAGTGCCATTTTCACAGGCATAATCGCTGCGTGACTATTTATTTTATTTTTTTATTTTTGATTACAGCTTGATTCCACACCGTAGTTTTGGTACAAGTATGGAATTTTCAGCGTGGATATCGGTAGCCCAAAATTCGCAGGCCGACCATAGATATCAAGTGTGCGTCGGCGTGGGCTCGAACCCCGGACCATGTACATGGTCGGCGAGAGTCCTAACCACTGTGCCACCGACGCACCTGTATCACATGCTGAAAATTCTATACTTGTATCAAAAATACGATGTGGAATCAAGCTGGAACAAAAAATTCTGCTTTGGAACACTGACTTTTGTTGCTGACTTTGTCGCCTAAGTCCAAGTAACGAGACAATTTATTTAGGCTGACTGAGGAGATTCGGGATCCCTTCTATTTGGTTTCTGCTAGATATAACGCTCACGACTGGTGTTCGCTATCAACCCTGCAACACCTGAGCTCTAGACACACTACCCTTTGATCTTTTAACCCGGTAGCCATACTTATCTTAACATCTTCACAACTGGCGAACAAAGAACATGACACAGTTGCTGATAGATGATTTGAGGATAATTTACAACTAGATAATCACATCACAACGAAGCTGACAAGCTCTTGTCCCGTGTAAAATATTCTGAACACCATGTCCTTCACTTCTCACGGACAAACAGATTGGTAGTTGTTGTTGAAACGGTTGATATTCGACTGAGTTGACGAACTTATTTGACCTCTTACATGACTACCAAGAACCAAGCGAGTAGTCTTGAGGAGAATGCTAGGCGTTCAAAAATTCATGGCATTTTATGGGGTTATTATATGAAATCTCGTTTCAAACTATTGAAATCATAGGTAGTTAATAAGGACGGTGTTATGTCAGTTAGTCCGGAAACGTTTTACTAGGTACTGGTCTTTCGTTGACTTATCGAATTATTATGCGTCGGTTGCACAGTGGTTAGGACTCTCAGTGACCGTGCACATGGTCCGGGTTTCTGTCCCCTGCCGACGCACACCTGATATCTATGATGGGCCTGCAAAATTTAGGCTACCTGTATCACATGCTGAAAATTCTATACTTGTATCAAAAATACGATGTGGAATCAAGCTGGAACAAAAAATTCTGCTTTGGAACACTGACTTTTGTTGCTGACATGAATTTCAAGTGCAAATTCCGTCTCCACGGTAACACTACTGTCAAGAGTATGAAGTTTTGTTCAGGTATAAATGCCAATAAAGAATAAATAAACACATGCACTATTGTTTCAGCTCCCATGCAGTGATACTTATCATTAGTAGAACGGGTGGTGTAGCATTTTGCGTTAAGTCAAAGTAGATGAGTCTGTACAGAGGCGATTAAGTAAAAAATCTGCATGTGGGATACAAAGTACAAAATAAAGTGACGGAGAGGAGTGATATAAAAAATAAAAAACCTAACAACGCACTGGCGACTGTCGCGAATCAACAGGCTACTGGCGTGTCAAATAACGGAGTCCCGAACCTGAGAGAGACAAACAGAGGTGAGACCAGCGAAAATAATGAAGCCAACTTATCCAACAAAGAATTAGGGCAGAGGAAACTCCATGATGATCAATTCGAAAAACTCTTCAAATGAACACCACCTACACTCCGATCGTGGATTCAGCTAGCAGGCATAGAATTACCTGACAGGAACCTGAATCATAAGGGCCATAACGTAACCGAAAGCAAGGAATACAGCGATACCACACCAAATTCCTCCAGATGCAATGGAGGTCCATAGACACTCCATTAGATTTGATTAAGCCACTACTGAGGAGGATATACAAGGAAAGGAAAGCGTTTGCCTACTGGAAGAAAAGCTACCTCATGAACTAGTAACAGTATGGTGAACTAAAATCATCCTGTGGAATTACGCTGTAATACATCACAAGCAAACTATACAATTAAGCCATCATAGAAGGACTTAGATACACACTTGACTTCGTACAGGACAGGCAGGCGTTCGCAAAGAAAAAGCATGCTTAGACAATGTGACAACATTACGTATCATCATCGCACAGACTAAGGTAATGTTGCCTATCTTCAGTGATTGCCTTTATAGTTGTGAATCACACAATTGAAATCACATCATAAAATTACGCATTGTCAGCGGATCGCACAATCAGATAAAAAATTACTAAAATAGGGAATTAAACAGACGAACAATAAGAATCAGTTCAACGTATTGCATGCAAATATGACAACAAGGATAAATATTCTGAGAGGAAAACGGTTCTTAATCATGAAGTTGTTCCTTTTTTATTATTTTTTATGTTTCCAGTTGAACATAGGGCTTCAAGTTTGAGGTTTGAAATTTCAGTAGCAGTGGGTTTATTGTAAAGGAGTGGGATTGCCAGCCGCATACACAACCTCCCCTCTTTACTAGGCTTATTACCGAGGTAATGAAGTGAAGGACTGCGTACGCTGTGGATCGAAAACCGAACAACATGCGTGGTTGGCAAGTAATCTGCCGCTGTGCCGACGATACACGGAGTTAGTTGGAAAATCCATATAAGCACAAACACTTTGGCACATCTTTCGTGGGGCCTGAGATGATCGGCATATGTCCGACCAATAATAGACCCTAAAATTCTGGGTTTTGTATATGATTTTAGACTCATGACTCACAAAAGCGAACATATGCAAGCGAAAACCAACAGTTTGGAAGAAGAGGAAGTGAAGACAGTAATTAATACTGACACGCAGAATTTAGTGGTGATGGAGATGTGCAACTTAAACAACAATAACCAACACCAATCACCATTATCGTGTGAAATTTAAGGAAAACCACCCCCTTCGCTCACATGTGCAGTACCAACGTTTCAACTAAACACAGCACAGGATGCGTTGTGAAAGTAAGTCACTCAGGCAGTTTGGAATCAGGAAACCATGACACTCATGCATTGCTTTCAAATCACTGTGGAGATCTACAGTAAAACAAAATTTGGATATTCAACACTAAAGTCAAGTCGATTTCATTCTGGATGATCTGGACATCTCGTTTGAGTTCCTTTAAACAACTGCATTGATGTGAAGTGCCTGAGCCTGTTAGTTATTTCTTGTATTGGTCTTATTCTTACAAACAATCACACTGACCAAGATCCCATATGAGCAGGATGAAGTCCATCGACTAAGTACTTTTGCAAGGAAAAAAACTCAGCTTTTTTTCATATTATAGGATTTCTGTCGGGTACTGTCTTCACATGGCACACTTGGGCTATATATATATATATGCTTATATGTGTGATGGTGACTTTTTCCGCATATATCTGACAACAGAAGTGAAAATACGTTCCGAGTACTCTAAAAGAGTTCAAATCTTAGTACCATTCAGGTATTATATATACGGATTCTAATAGCCACAAAACCAAAACTACTAAGTTATGCCAATCATATGATAGACACCTTTTTCCTAATCACGCCACCTAAAATACGAACTTTTTCAATTTCTTGAAAGGCCCCTCATCTCTTATTATTCTCTCCACTTTTTTCTTTACTTGATTTTTCTAATTTTAGTTTGAAATTATCTCTGGAATCGAGTAATGACAAATTTTATGAGCATTTTCAAAACTAACAGAGCCGACATTCCCAAACTTAAGTTCAAATGTATTGTATTCTCTCTGAGTAACTCACTTGTAATACAGGTCAAACGCTTTACATGATTTGGAAAATCAACACACTACCGAAAACATAGGGAAGGAGAATTCTTGATTGTTCAGGAATTTTTCAGTCACAATCATTATGCATTCGCTTAACCTGGTTTGGCTATGGGATGCTTTTTTGAATTTTTAGTCAGACTACTGTGGATGACAATCTCGGCTAAATCGCTTTAGAACTTCATCTTAATGCTGCCAATCCTTTAATCGGACTCTTCATATCGTTTTACTTGGGAAGAAGGGATGGCAAGTGACATTAGTATTCAAGACCTTCTCTTGGAAAGATCTCCTTCATCTACAAATAAATTTTTACTGTGGTGTCCTAACTGAAGCCGTTGATTTACGATAGCCTAAATAGTAGTTTCCTTGGACCACTGGTTTACGTAAAGGTGTCATCTCATGCGTCAGTAAAAGGCTATCTCATTTGCAATTGACTGTATGGTTTCAGATGTATATGTGCAATCGTTGGCAACTTTTGCACACTGTAAAATTCATCTAATATGTAGCCTCTCGACCTTGGCAGTAACCATCGCGTTAGAAGCAATGTTAGTTTTTTTCCTCACCCAGTTTTAAGAAACTAACATTTTTCCTGGGTCCCATATAAGTACCCATATAAATACCGGCGACAAAGAATTTTGAAATGGTGTTATAGAATCGCGTGTGACCGTATATTTTTGGAGCAGATTTCTCTTGTTTGGTTATTAGGTGACAACAAATCATTGACACTGTTGTTTAGGCATGGGGATATGCCTCAGCGTACAGCGGATCTGCATGTTTTCTAATCAGTTGACACAGTATCTCAGAGGCAAAACTGGATTAATCCATTCACCGCATTTTCATGCACTTTTGCTTCGCGTTGTCATGTTTCACGGTTTGTTGTTGTGCGATATAAAAGCAATACAGTTATTCAGACAATTGGAGCCATTGGTTTCCAGGTGGGATAAATGTCACTTTTTAACGAAAACTTATGGAAACAGTGACATAGGATAATGGACAGATTTGCTTCTGCTAAAGAAGGCAATTGTAGTAAAAAGGAGAGACAGTTCAATGTGTAAATAATCTGGGTTCAGTCAGTGATGGCAACATGCAACTCTATGAGTGAAAACAGCTTTTACGCATGTGCTAGATAAAAAACCGTAAAATACTACTTGAGTTTCCGGAGGACAAAATCTCTTACTGAATTTTATTTGCAGCGAATCTGGTCGTCCGAGTCCATGTTGGGGCACATGCTCTAGCACGAAAATAGATATAGGCAGTTTTTTATTGGCTGTTGGCTAGCTGGCTTTTTATTGGTCTAAAATATAAATTAAAGCGCCAATCTCTTTATTTTTACACGGAAATTTACAGTCAGTAAAATTTCGGGCTTACCTTACCATAATATAATGGCGTGTTAATTTTTTTGGTGTGAGTGTAGTGTGACAGTCACACGCTATTTGGATGCATTGTTGATGTTTAAAGTATATTGAGATGTATGAGAATGTCCAGAAAGTGAATATAAATCAACAATAATTTTGATGCATTTATTTTAAGTCCAAAATAGAATGTATGCCATTTTGGTTACTAGGCGAATATAATTCAACTACCATTTCTATAAATTTAATGTGTCCTGAATTATTACATGTAGAAATATGTATGTAGTAACTAATCTACTTTTTGAAGTTGTCACTTCAATGATTTGTGGGAATTGTGCGTACTACGTCAGCATAAATGAAGTAAATTGACAAGGTCATGGCCAGTGGTATATAAGCACTGAAATATATACTAGTGTTTATTTACTTGAAGTCATAGTGTTGTGCACGTTAGGAATTGTTAAAACGATTAAATGATGTTGCAAAGTACTCCTACTGCGTCTACTTCAAGAAATATATCATCTTTATTGTATGATGTAACAGCTATATTCCAAAGGATAATGTTGTGTTGTATATTTTATACATGGACACAATTTAAGGAAGCTTTAGACACATTTATGAAGGTACTAACTAAGTTGTTCTTTATTTCTTTGAAAGGAATCCAATACATCCTATCGTGTTGATTCAAGTAAAAAAGATCGACCCGGTGCTGACGACTACAAGTTTGTTAAGTTTAAATGCACTTTTGGAAGTCATCGTGCTCCCCGAGGTGCTGGCTTTAGGAACAGAGGGTAAGTTGGCTGCGTGTGCAAATTTTAAAAATTTTAAGGTTCAAAAGTACATCATGTCAGTCAATAATTCTAGTCCAGCGGAAATCCAACGTATACATGATAACCAAGTACAAAACTGTGCATAACCATCCCTGCACAGCAAGTTTTATGTCCACCGATGTATCTAGACGTCGGTTATCATCACAAGAAATGGCAATTATCCAACCGTTCATTGAAAGGAATACTGCTGTTCATGAAATCATGGATCTAGCGCATGAGAAGTTCGGAAAAGCGCTCCTGTATAACGATATTAAAAACATGCGGACTAAGATAAATAAACGTAAGTCCTATCAAAATAAATGGTGCAGTAGAATAGAAATTGGTTGTTTGGAAGAGCTGCTTCATCGACTGAGGCAGACAGGTACAGTTAAAGTTTTGCAGGACAACGCAGGCTTTGTATCTAAGATCATTTTTGCTCGTAATGATATGATAGACGTGTATCATAAGTTTCCAGAAGTAGTTGGAATCGATTGTACTTACAAAACGAATAAGATGGGGTAAGTTTCAGTACAACAAGGTATAATTCCTTTTCCAAATTTGTTACAGATGGCCTTTATATCAGTTTGTTGTGACTGATGGATTCGGAAGAGGAAGGACTGTTTTGTTTGCTCTTACTAGGAGAGAAACGTTTGCAGATATCAAGGAGATATTGCAAACGTTTAAGAGATTTATGGTGGATACATCGAAAACATTAACATTCACTGTCGACTGTGCAACTGCACAGATGAAAGCCCTAAAGGAGGAATTCCCTAGTTGCAATATTGTTTTGTGTCTTTTCCATGTATGCAAGGCATTCAGAAGGAAGGTAAGTTACATTCCCATTAACTGACATAGGGAAAACAGTTCCCAAACCAGCTTGTTAAAAAGTGGTTGTATGGAATGGCGCACACGCGCAGTTATGACAGGTAGGTTAGCAAATCAGAGTATATTGCCAAAGGTTTTGGCGTTACCTAAACCTCATAAGTATTGTAGACGCTGAGGCTGGTGCTTACATTAGAAGGTACTGGCTAAGAACACGCAAATATTGGGCTGCATCGTGCAACCGGTTCACCATCAGCATGGGGAACAATACTAACAACAGAGTTGAGAATGCTCATAGGCATTTGAAAAGATATCTACGTAAAGGTGATCCTATGGAACTGACGCTATGGAAAATATGGAGGTAAATCGACCACATAACCATGCGTAAAATACGTCAGGGCCAGTGGATGCTTGCTAAATACTACAATTACGATGTAAGTTCGAAGATAATTTACGATTTATCCTAGGTACCTAATTCCCTGAAGTCTCATTTACGGAGTCTCACGCCGTTTGCTGCCCAGAAAGTTGTGTTAGATTTACAAAGGCGTTCCTTCTTCTTCCATTCAATATCTTCTACCTCAGGTGTTTACGCAGAAGGTGGTCACATATTCTTCGTGAACAGGAACGAGGCGGACTGCACATGTTGGACATACTGCGCATACAATTTGCCTTGTGCACATGTCGTCGAGGCGTTCTTGAACTCATATCTAAATTGTGGTATGTTCCATTTCTTTAAATGTTACTCTTAGATATTCTGAGGAATAGTGAGAGGTGGACACGTGTATATAACACAACGGACAACATTCCGAGGGCCATCCGGTTAATGCCGGAACCAAACAACGCGTTTCGAAATGCTTATGAACGTTTAAGATATCGTCTCAACAGTCTGAACCGAAGAAATCCGGATGCTGCACTGCGGGAAATAGCGGAGTTTACCAGAAGGTTGGACAGTTTGCTAGCAAATGAACCGCAAACAACTTTAAGATTACGACGTGCCCCTGTTAATCGATTATTTTTGTGAAAATATTTGTATTACCTTTTTATTTCCATTTGTATTCAGAATATAAACATGTATGTATAAACTGCAGTTACACTTCCTTTCCTTTCAAAAGGCTAAGACCGACAGTTTAAAGAATACTTTGGTTGATTGTTTCGTTAAGAGAGCGCTTTGAAAGTCACTTAGAAATTAAAACGATCTGTGCCTTACTTACTACGTTTTTCAGCCGAGCATTTGCGGTTCATAGCATATCCTGAATAACGGTGATTAATACGATTTATCACTTAGACCGCAACGCCACCAAGCCTACTATATTCCAATATCCAATATCCAATATCCAATATCGTTTTTACGAGCTAGTATAAACCAATTTGATTTCTTTGTGCTCGCTTCTTGATTGTGAGGTATAGGTTCTTGATCTTCGGTAAACTTCTGCGTAGCTTGTCCCGCCACTCGACTGTCGTAGCTTTGGTTGACTCCAAAGGGAGTAGTGCTGGGATTAATTATATGTGGTTTGTAGTATGAGGTATGTTAAGACTGTTACTACTGTGATTGGAGTTGATCCTTTCGCCAGTTAGTCCTTCGGTATTGTCGACAAGAGAAAAGAGATAGTAATAATAATAATAGTAATAATAATAATAATAGATATAATTAGTGAAGCTATTCAGACTAAGAGACAGAAACGAAAATAGGAAACGTAACAACAGTCAGCTCATGAAGTTTGAAGAATAATATATATATCGGTAATAGTAATAATAATAATAATAGTAATTATAATATTAATAAGTTGTCAGGAGAGTAAGACGGGAGAGAATGTAAAGAAGTAAAATGACGAGTTTAATTATCTACCCTGATTGGTAAATGCGATTTTAAGGAGATAGGCCATTTGGATGCAGTCCTTGTATCGCTGCATGGTTGTCCAGCCTTCGCTTAAAGGCGTCCAAAGACGGTGCCATAGCTACATCTGCCGGTAAGGAATTCCAGGGACGACAAACCCGCAGTGAAAAGAAGTGGGAGCGCACCCGGGTCCTTGCCCTCTGGTGAGCTATCCTTCTGGGATTTCCACGTGGAAGCCTATACCTACTCAATGGCAGAACACCTTTGTTTGGGTGATTCTGGTCATTTGTTATTTTGTAGGCAGTAATCAAATCCCCCCTAAGCCGACGGTAACTAAGTGTGAACAGGCCTAATTTCTTCAGCCTTTCATCATATGGTTTGTTTCGGAGACCAACCACTCCTTTTGTTGCCCGTCGTTGGACTCTTTCCAAGAGGTTGGCATCTCTTCTCAGCATTGGGGGTGCAATAATATTATGCACCTCAAGGTGTGGCCTGACGTATGTTTTGTACAACATTAGAAAGAGCTCAGGAGTGAGTGCACCTAACTGTCTATGCGTAAAGTGTATGACCGCATATGCCCTCGCTACATCCCCTGTGTAATTTACGCTTGTGTCCATTTTTTCCGTTAGAACTAGACCTAAGTCGCGTTCCGACGTTGTGCAGGACAAGCTTTCATTGCACAGGGTGTAACTTGCATTCTGCAGTCTACAGGTGCGCAACTTCACTACTTTGCACTTTTTCAAGTTGAAAGTCATGCCACTGGCCACCGCCCAGTCTTCCAGAAGGTTTAGGTCTTCCTGTAGCCTATCTGAGTCCTCCGGACACTTTATCGCCCTCCATATTTTTACGTCGTCAGCGTACAGGAGAGTCGGGCAGCTCAGACGGCGTGGTAGATCATTGATGAAAATCAAAAACATCAGTGGTCCTAGGATAGAACCCTGCGACACTCCTGATGACGATCTGTGCCAAGATGATCGGACTCGGTTAACCTTAGTGCAAAATTGCCTGTCGGCTAGGTAGTCCTTCAACCATGACAGAAGTGGCTCACCTATGCCTGCCTGGCTTATTTTATGTAGGAGAAGGTCATGGTGAACAGTGTCAAATGCCTTCTCAAAGTCTAGGAAGACCACATGGACTGGTACGTTCAAGTCCCAGCATGATGTCCAGTCGTCCCAAGCTGACAGTAGGTTAGTGACGCAGGATCTGCCTTTTCTGAAACCATGTTGGGCTTCATGCAGTATATTAGTCCTATCGAAATATTCCCTGATGTGGTCGTCAATAATACTTTCCAGTACTTTTGATACCACTGGGAGTAGAGCTACTGGTCTATAGCTAGCAGCGTTTTGCCTGTCCCCACCCTTGAAGATTGGAGAAAGGATGGCTCTTTTCCACTCCCTTGGCAGGGTCCCCGAATCCATTGAGTGTTGGAACAAGTCGCACAGGGGTCTACAGAGAGCCTCGGCGCACTGTTTCAGAACAGATGGCCTGATGTCATCACAACCTGGGGACTTCCCAGGTATGAGTCGCTGTAGCTTCCTTAGTACTATTGCGGGGTTTATTTGGGGAGTAGTCGCTAGGTCTTCCTCCTCTGAAATAGTGGTGCCACCATTTTGGTCCGTAACTGTAATATCCACATTGCTGTTTAGCTGTTTAGCGAAGGCTGAACTGAATGTTTCAGCCATCTCCAGACTAGTGAGATATTGACCGTTTGGGCCTACTAAGGCGCATGCCCCTTGGTTTGTCGGTTTTCTTTCCGACATGAATCGGTACAAGTTTTTAGGGTTTGATAGGAGTTTTTTAGCAAGGTTAGCCTGGAATGACCTTCTGTCCCTCCTAACTCTTGCATTACACCGGTTCCTGAGTTCGAGGTATGCATCATGGTCGGTCTGACTCTTAGATACACGCCACGTAAACCAAGCCCTCCGCTTTGCTTGCAGAATACGTTGCGTGCCTCTCTTCAACCATGACGTCTTTCTCTTAGGCTGTGTTGTGACTAAAGGGACGGTATCCGAGATTGCTGCATGGATAATCTTTTTTACCACTTCCCAGTGTTCATCCACAGATAGGTCGTCCCATGCTAAGGGCCAGTCTGCGTCGGACAAGAGCCTCCGCATTTCAGCATAGTCAGCCTTGCTGTAGCACAGACATGGTCGCGTAACATCCCATTGCAAACGCTCACGGAGGACAAGATCGAAACCTATGACTGCATGGTCACTGCTTCCCAGAGGAGTCATGATCTGGACCTTTTCGACGAGTAGCTGGTCACTAGTTAGAATATAATCTAGTTTTGATGACTTTCCACTAGGGCCCCACCTAGTGTCGTCTCCAACATTCTCAGTCAGTCCCGTGTTTCGAATAGTTTGCAGTAGGTTTCGGCCAAATTTTCCCTTAGCACACCCGGAGCCAAGGTTCAGTGATGGAGCATTGAAATCTCCAGCTATGGTGATTTGGTCGTAGCCCAAATCTCGTATTCCTGTGATAGTGCTGAGCAGTAGCTGATTGTGCTCTGCCCCACAGGTGGGAGATCGGTAGATGCCACCCAGTAAGTGCTTGGTGTGGCCTACGGTGAAATGACACCATATGGAGTCTGGGAGTTCGATAAGTGGTGGGTCCGTTGCGCGCACACATTTAAGTTGCCTATCAAAGTATATAGCAACTCCCCCTCCTTCCTTATTATCCCTGTCTCTCCTGACCAGTACCATATCACCTATACTGATTTCATTGTCGGCGATAGTGGGGTTTAGCCACGTTTCAGTAAGAATGATTATTTTCAGTTGAAGGTGTGCTTGGAGATTTCGGAGTTCACCTACTTTCCCTCTCAGCCCCCTCACATTGCTATATAGGCAACTGACAGTGAGTCTAACAACCTCAGAGTGTTGTGGGGTAGTTGACGTGAAACCGTCTGCTGGTGGGGGACTTGATGTTGGAACTAGTTGGCCGATTCCGATAGAACCGGCCCGTTGTAGTTTTTTTCAATGGATTTAGGCAGGACACTTGGGAGACACAGACTATTATTCTCAGAGCTGCATCGCTCTAGTGTCACCGAAGCTTGGGGTCGTATTAAAGCCTCAGTTTGCTGCCTCCTTATATTTCTGGGTCTGCTTTCACAGCATCGGATGTGTCCTCCAATTTTTCCCTTGGTCTCATACCACCGTTGAAGTGATATGGACAACTGCTCCGGGGAGTTGAATGTGACACACAGCAGCTTTGGAGAGTTAATCAATGTTAGATGAGCGGGACGAGGTAGTCGGAAAATGGAGATGGCTCCAGAAGCGCCAGGGGCCATCTGAGATGACAGCCATCTCCATTGTTGTACGTCGTGCATGTGTTTTTCACAAGCAGTGCCGGTTTCCAGCTCCGGAACACCGTGTACCACCATAGAGGTGGAAGGCATCAGTTCCGGTGACTCCCTCGCCATATTTCTGACGGCCCATGGTCTATCTTGCCGCGCTCTTATGTTAGAACTTCTGTCCAGGGCTAGTACCTGAGCCATTAACAGTACTTTTTCGGCCTCTTCGGCAGAGTCCAGTGTAACCCGTAATGGGGGTGGCTTACCCTGAGGCGTGTGGACACCCCTGTACAGTCTGCACAGTTTTGCTGAACTAATGTTCAGACCTAGTTTGCCGCACAGGTTGGACCACTGTTCCTGATCAAACAGGGCCCGTTGTTCGAGCAAGCTATCCGTGCTCACAGGTACGTTAAAGAGGATGAGAGAGTTAGACCGACTACCCTCAGACTTAGGTTTTGCCTTCGGCTTCTTGCAGTCCTTTGCATCATTAGCAACATTAGGCTTCGTCGGTACCTGGACAGCCTTTTTTGTGTTGCCAGGCTTGCTAGTGGATGCAAGTGGTGCCTTTGTAATTTTGCCCTCCCTTGATGTGGATGGAACCTTGCTAATCTTCACCTTGTGAGAATTGGCATTTCCAGTCAGTAGGGCTGGTGTGTCCTTCTTTAAGTCTTTGACCAGTTTCGGCAGTGCGAGTTTAGCAGGGGGGAGCTGCATGATACTGTGTTGGGGCACAAGAGCATGTTATTTCTGCTATCCGCAGACACGCTTTGTGGGACTATGCCAGGGCGACAAAGTGGACACACGTACCAAAACCATGGGCATGGGTTATTTCTCATAAACTCATAGTATGCTTTCGGTACTTCTTTGTCACAACGGCAGTGCACCCATCGTTTGCAAAAATTACATTCAAACGCTGAATCAGTTTTAGAAACTGTGATGCTGCACGCCTGGCATTCATCCCCTTTCCTTGATGACGCCTTCGAGGTCTTATGACGTCTTGAACGTTTCCTTTTAGGCTTGATGTGTTTCACACACTGGCCTACAGTTGATGCAGGTGTAGAATTCTGTCCTTGTGGTATTGCCTGTGCC